AAWKGGSMAAAWTWAAAAAAAAATATTCAAATATATGCATAAAYAAGTATAATTTTGGAAAGAGATCGAAAGTGTATAGAAGACGGCATCGCCAAGACGATGCTGAAAATATAATAAATGTAGAGGTTACAAGCACAAGCTAAGGAGAAAAGTCAAGTCGAGATAATCTGTGGGGATACAAATGTATAAACAATACTACAAATTTACTTATCACAAGTGTTTGAGGGTGAAAATGTATGTGTGTAAAGAATTGGTTGACCAGGTGCCCAACTTGTTATAATAAGAGGCGCACTAGGGTTGTATGTAGATGYGGTTGCCAGAAAGGGAAATTGTGTATTTTTGGACTCTAAATACACATCCAGGCTACTAAAAACAAATAAAAGTATTAGAAGAAGAACGATACACACCAAATATAGCTGTAATGTACACTAATTTACAAAAGTAAAAGGGATTTAGAAAAATATTTAATACAAGCGGACGTTAGTAGTAAATTAAGGTTAGCGCCGAAACAGTTTGATTATAATTAGTAAAAGCATAAAAAGCATAGAGTAGATAAATGTTATATCTATAGTACGTAATAAAAATGTGCAAGTAAACATACAGTGAACGTATGCACGAAATATAAGTTATATATAACGAACACRCTAAAAATACAATAACATTAAAGCTTAACCATTCAATGCATATTTACTATCGTAATTTATAAAATTCGTGTTTTTTTCTTCTAAAATTGTAGTCTTGCCGAAAACATAAAACATATAGATGCATGCATTGAATAGCTACTAAATAAGCACATTATAAAAGTTGCAAGAAAATAACAACTCCACAGGCGGGCTATACTAATATACGTAGGCACTTGAGAGAGGCTGTAACAGATTGTATGATTCTTTGGGTTGTATAATTGCTTTACCAATTCACGCGTTTTCTGGCCAAAATTTTCAGGATGTTTTCCACGACATCTGTGCTGGAAGCAGTGCCACCCAAATCTATAACCCAAAAAAAAAACATATTTTTGAACATACTACCACCATATTTAACGCTCAAACCTGGTGTGCGAATGCCATCATTAACCACAGTTTCATATGTCGCCTCATAAATAACACGCGCATGTTCTTTGTGTCCTAAATGGTTCAACATATCAGCGCTGGCGTTTATCATTGCCACYGGATTGGCAATATTTTTTCCAGCAATAGCTGTACCAGTATTACGGGTGCCGGGTTCAAAGACGGCAAACTAAAATAGTATTTAAGGCATATTTGCTAAGATAATTTCCTAATATAATTGATTTTTCACTTACATGATCGCCGTAGTTAGCACCAGAGAGCAGACCTGCGCCACCAATTAAACCGCAAATAACATTGGACACAATGGTGCCATACAAGTTGGTCATGTTCATTACATCGAACTGTATGGAAAACGTAAATAAATTGTATTTATCATAAAATTTATGGATACTTGTATCTTACTTGATGTGGATTAGACACCAACTGCATGCATGTGTTATCGATGATCATGTTGTTATGTTCGATTTCAGGATATTCCTTGTGCACATTTTTGGCAACTTGAAGGAAAAGACCGTCGGATAACTTCATAATGTTGGCTTTGTGAATGGTTGTGACTTTTTTGCGGTTATTCTGACGCGCATATTCGAATGCGTAACGCGCTACACGCTCAGCATTTTCCACCGTTACTACCTTCATGCTTTCAACGACACCGCGTACAGATTCATGCTCCAACATAGCGTACTCACCGTCAGTGTTTTGACGAATCAATACAACATCGATATTCTTGTGACGCGACGGTATACCGGGGTATGAGCGACAATGTAAAACATTTACGTACAAGTCGAGTTCATTACGAATRGCTACATTACGTGACACCTCATCTAAGCCTTGCGATTTCGTCTCAATATTACCCTTAATGGCAACACCATTACGTTTAATTGATGTTATGGCATAATCCAAGTCATCATTACCCTCAGTAGAAGGATCGATTTCAATTACTTCGAAATCAACGGGTGCGCCAACGAAACGGAAAATTTCACGAATGTAGTGCATTAACTCGGGACCGATACCACCGCCTGGCAGCATTGTGACTGCGTGACGACCTCCATATTGTGCGGATGGTATATCAACACCCTAAACAGTAGGATAAACAGTGATTAACCTCACTTTTGTTTACATTTTAAGGGGACATATTTAGAAAAAAAAAAGATCAGCAATAATTACCGTCCACTTCTTTTGGAGAGCCGACTTGGTATGTGCTACATCTTCGCCCTTTTCCTTTGTCACCAGCAGAGGATAGCCCTAGTAAAGGAAGAAGTGTTTAGTTGTATAAAAATCAACGTTTTGCTTGAAATTTCTTATGTAATTATCATTCTAGAGTGAAACCTTTTAGAAATATTAAAAAATAATCTCTTTAATACATACGCGAGTCAGAAATGGCACTTGAGTTTGCAGTAAGCGTTGAGTATAACGTAAAGCCATTTTATAATTTTTTACACTTTTTTCTTAATTACTACAAGAACTAAATAATTTTGCAAAAATCCACTTTGCCAAATCTGATTCGGCGACCGCACTGCTGCTTCAGTGCGARTGTGCCATTCACAATTATAAAAATGTGAATGAAACTTTATTTTCAGCTAATATCAAAAATTGATAGACATCAAAACGACAAGYAACGTCATAAAATAAAAAACTGTCAAACTGTTGCAATGATTGTGAACAAAGCCTTCGTAACTTTCGTTCATAACTCTATAATATGTAAAATTGCAATTACATTTGTTTACTTTTAATTATTTATAAACATTTTTCGAAATACCTTGTCAACCCTTACAAACTGCGGTTAATATTGCAATCCGAATTTTTATGAAAAAAGTCGGTACTTCAATGAGTTCAAGAGGAAGTGTTTTCCGAAAGTAAATTCCTTTTGATTTGAATTCAAAATGGCTGACTTTGAGCGGTCAATGGTATATACTATTTTCAATATGTACAAAATATATTGAAAAGTTACATAAAAGTATGGAATATATGAAAATATTTAGCATGTTTTCAGCTTAAATTTAGTCGTTCTCAATAATATTTCGTCGAGTACCAGCATTATTCTCAAAAACATGTTGCGCCTCTTTTTCACAAAGGCAGTGGCAAAAATATTCACCACACCAAAATGTTAGGTTCAGATATGCAACCATGCAAGAAGTTAAACAATTCTAAGGAACGCTCTCAAGGGTAACTAGTACTTTGGAGTAGGTCTGTACAGTGGTATTAACGAGTGAAATTAGCAAGATTTACATAGCGGAAAAGGTGGCAATAATAGAGATATTTAATTGTATAAAATAATGCTAGATGTCTCTTAGAAATATATGTATAGCATACAATAACAAATTGTGARAAGATGTAATTGCAGACGCATATGCATGTGTACTTACATAGTCACGTCCATACAAAGAAATTATTATGAATTTTATCGTTATCAATTTTTAYCTATGCATATACTACATACCATTTGTTCGAATGTGATTTTTAATCGCCGGYACTGATAATGTTATCTATGATAAATCGGGGATAACTATGATTACTTCGTAGAATGGTACCCAGCAAGTCATGGCTATCGAAACGGCAATATTTTGAAAGAATTAGCGCGAAAACTAATACACACACCGCGTAACTCATAAGACCTTAGCGTTAGAAAGAAATGAGGTGTTTCGGTTGTCAATTGGGCGGCAAGAAACTCATAGAAACTTTAACGGATATGTCTAGTAAAGCTATTGGGTAATTAACCAGTGATCTAATCAATAGGTGATTTGTTGGATATTTGGTGTTTGTCTGAATTATTACGAAATGAGAATGATTTAATGGAAATTTATATATATAATATATACTCCTGGTACACTAAATTAATTAATCCATTCATAACATTAAAACTCGTATAAATCAATTTTCTTTTACGTTTAAAAAAAAGAGCTGTGAAATGAGCGATAACGAAAACGGAGAACCCACCTGGTTGGACACAACATATTTGACGAAGATTCTAAAGAAGTACACACAAAACCATTTAGGTAAAATTATATCATTCACAAAAATACCTGCGACTAAAAAAGGTGAAAACTATGCAAGYTGTATGTATCTTATAACTGCTTTGTATACAACGGAACCGGAATTGGCAGACATAAAGGAATTACAACTCATTGTAAAATCACGTTTAGAAAGCGAATTGTTCGCACAAATAGAAGAAGGTTTTAACGTTTTCGTACGTGAAGCTCAAGTATATAATGTAATAATGGATTTAGCAGAAGAGCTGCTTCGAAGCGTCAAAGACGAAACATGTTTTGGTCCCAGGTTAGTATCTTAATAACAAACTGATTTAGTCGCTTATTTTACCAATTACCATTGTAGAGCAATTTATGTGGATGAACGCATTATAGTTCTGGAAAACCTTAAACTCCAAGGCTTTTCTATCGAAAATATTAAGGCTGGCTTAGATTTTGAATGTTGTCGTCTGATACTGGAGAAATTGGCCAAATTCCACGCAGTCACTATGGTTCTCTATAAAAAGGTTTTATTATTTATACAAAATACATATTAATTCCCATATATGTATGTACATCAAATGTTCTTACTTACTAAATGTTTGTATTTTGTAGAATCCAGATATATTCCGGCATCATTTGCCCAGCAATATATCCGAACAACCTTCGCCTCTGCATGACGTCTATACAAATACCATTAAAAATTGCATCGAGTATTGCCAAACCAATCCAAAACTACAACGTTACGTAACGAAATTGCAAGCTTTCGGTGAAAAAATTATTCCAAAGATGATAAATGTTTTCAGTCGCAGTCAAACGGACCGTTATCATGTGTTGAACCATGGTGATGTCTGGGTGAATAATATGATGTTCCGCAAGGATCTTAGCGGAAATGTCGTGGACGTTTTATTCGTAAGTATTCATGAGAAATATGAAAGTGATTAATATTAGTAAATCGACGAAAAATAGGTGGAYTATCAAGAAGGATTTTATGGTTCTCCAGGCATCGATTGGAATTTTTTTATTTTTACATCGTGGCAAAAGGAAGTRTTCCAAAATCACTTTGAAGAGCTATTGACCATCTATCATTCGGTGTTGTCTGCTTTATTGCACAAGTTAGAACATGATGAGCGTATACCCACAATCGAAGATGTAAGAAAGGCTATTATCAGTAAAGGTTTCCATGGTGAGTTCAAAAAACTTACAAATAACTAATATGAGTATGTTTTTGAACGMTTTTTTTCATTGCAAAAGGTCTTACGTCGGCAACGTGCTTGTTACCAATATTGATTAATGAACATGCAGAGTTGTCAGACCCCATAAATTTCATTTTGAATACTGATGAGGCAATAGCCAATCGACGAAAAATCTTCGACAATCCAAAATATGGCGAAAGATTGGAAGTTTTCTTGGAATTCTTCGAAAGTAACGGTATTCTGTAAAAAAAAGGTATTATGAAGGGGGTATGCGACCACTATGATTTTGTATATGTATACAGATTGTTATATAATAATGTATGTATGTAAAAAAAATTTAAACATTTTAATAAACTATGTGAGAAAGCAGTTGAAACTGATTATTATTTATAGGATAAAAGGATATAACAAGATTGAGCAATATATTCGGAGGTTGTAGAGATGTATTTGACAAAAATTTATTTTTAACTTGTCAAATAAAAAAAAATGTATACTATAGTCCGCCACATTTCCTTTGGGTGATAAAAACATCAAAGAAAACTAATTTTTCTTAACAATGAACTCGCAAGCTGGGTAATCCGATATAAAAATGCAAATGCGTTTTTGCAAAGTAGGCAAGTAAGGACTAAATAATATTGTTAATTTGCACCGTTTCATATCATTTATGATCACTGTGAATTAAATATTTATTTGTATTTATTTTTAGTATGACCTTAATGTTAATTCACAATTGTAGTTCTTTGTTGGTGACCAAACGTGAACTGTTGTTTRAATCGATTTGTGCGTTCGGATGTTGGTGAATGTAACGCATTCACATTTGTATATGACTTGTCGTTTAACCAGCTGTTATTGACGGTTCATGTCATACCTTTCAATGCAACACTGAATTGCTCTCTCCCGTAGTGATTCTCTCATATAATTTCAACGAGATGTGTGTATGATTACCCTATGTTATACTACAAAAATTTTCACCATTTATTAGCCACGACAAAATAATTCTCATTTCTTAGCAGACGTATATGAAAGGCAGGTGTAACTAGAGTGTAACACGTAGTGAAAAATCGAATTCAATTTATTCTTCATTTAGTTGCATAAAATTGTGGAAAATATTTGAAAATATTGTTATATTTCATGTTATGTTTCGTATTAAATATAAGAAAATATGTATTAAGTGATGAAAGCTACTAAAGTCGATAGATGTGTGTATATGTGTTCAAAGAAAATTTATTCAAAGTGTGAGTGTGCACAACTAAGCTAATGTAGATACATATAGATAACGAAATAACAACGCCTACATTTTAAAAGTAAATTTTGATAAAATGTATCAAATAGTAAGGAAAATATATGAAAATAGCTATCCAAAAAATGGTTTTACAACGATAAAAATGAAGAAGAATCATATATAAGTGATATACGTATGTATATACAAATTATATACGTAYGTATAATGCATATTACGGAATATACATACACAGTCTTACAAAAGTTTACATAC